ACAGTCTCTCCAGCAGAGCCAGACATTTTCCCAGCCACTCCCTTAAGTTTAGGCAATCAGAGTTTTGTAAACGTCAAGTCTTTTTTCAAAGAGAGACTACACTTTGTAGCAGACTCTAGAGGAATGTTTCTCAAATTGTGGGCTGGATTTTAAAGAGGAAGAGGGTCACCCTGGGTCCTGGTGTGGTGTTGTAGAATAAGAATTGGACCACAAGGTCAGTTTGAAGCACAAAGTCTGTGGTTCAAACTCACTAGCCACTCCTCAGAAAACCTCTGCAGGGTTGTTATGCATCAGAACTGACTCAATGGCACTTAACCACAACAGCAGAGGGTAGGAGGGGATCTAACATGATGCCTGGGAATTTTATGGACTAGACCTGCAAAGGACTAAGCAGCAGGTTGCAAGGCTGGGAGATGTGATCTTTTCCTTCATCTTTCTCTCCAGCACTGAACATCTCCTGCAAGGCTGAGACCTCGTGAAGCTAGTCTCCTGAGCTCTGTTCTGTAGTGGGCTACTGCTCACAACCAATGTGTTCATTCCCTCTCTCTCTTTCTCTCTACCTTTCTGCCTCTCTTTCAGTTTCTGAAGGTTGTTAGGTTAATAGGTAGGCAGGATAAAAAGATAACATTTCAGAAGTATATCTTTAAATCAGTAATCATCATGTAGCTTTTGTTCCCAGGATTCCAATAAACTCCTATTTTAAAAAGAAAAATAGAGAAACATAAGTACTAGCAATTGAAAACCCAGAGTATCTCAGCCAAGAAGCATACAAAAAAGACAAAGTCATTCCTGCTTTTAGATCTTGAAGCTGGAGATGGTTTTCTGCCTTAGAAGATTCCTTCCACAGTATTGGAGAAGTCTGTCTGGGTCTTCTGTTTTTAATTAGCTTCTTTCTTTGATTCTCATTTTCCTTTTCTCTTTTAAATAAACAAAACAGAAAGAGTGCAAAGTATAGTCTTTATTATCACTACAAACCACAAAGTTTTGCTACTTGAAAAAAAGTAAATCAAGAAAATTCTGTTTTCTGACACATGGATAATTATTACCATGCCGGTAACAATAATGAAAACTCAGAACTTATATAGCACATTTTATGATCAAACTGATTCAAAAATTAAATCAGTTAGCTTCAGGCTCTACTCAGTTTTCATTACTCTGTGTCTAATAAAGTAGACAACAAGAACATTCTCAAACAGGAAACATCACAAAACTTTTTTCCTGGATCCTTTTGTTGTTAAAATTCTCATATTTGTTTATGGTAAAATTCAAGGCTTTGGCCCATGTCTTGGTCACATTTTCAAAGAACGTTGAAGATTAATAGTCACTCATATGCATCAAATTCTTCATTGAAGCACTGTTTGTAATTTAAAAGATTAAAAACAATAGGTAACTGGTAAATCATGGCAAGTCCATATAATGGTATATTATGTAGCTACAAAAAATTAGAAAACTCTCTGTATATTTAATGGAAAGATCAAGATAATTTTTTAACTAAAAAATGCAAAATAAACTGGGACCTCTGGCTGTGTAGGATAAGCACTGGACTGCAAACCACAAGGTTGGTGGTTTGAGCCCGCCAGACACTCCATGGGATAAAGAAGAGCCTTTCTGCTCCCACAAAGATTTACAGCCTCGGAAACCCTCTGCAGGGTAGCTATGAGCCGGAACCAACTTAACAGCACTTAATAACAACAATGAACAACAGGCAATTATGTCTACTTTAAGAAAGAAAAATTACAAACATAAATTTTATTACATATACACAGAATATCTTTAGATAAAAATAAGACCTGGTAGTATTTTTGCCTCTGAACAGAAAAATTGAGAAATAAGGAAATGAGAAAAACTTTGCCTTACACGAGCTCTTGAATTTTATAGCATATGAATATATTATCTATTCAGAAAAAATAAATGTTAATTAAAAAACTATGATCTCTGATAAATTATAACATATATAGAAGGAGCTCTGGTAGCGTAGTGGTTACGAATCGGGCTGCGAACCTTAAGGTCAGCGGTTCGAAACTACCAGCCGCTCCGCGGGAGAAAGATGAGGCTTTCTACTCCCATAAAGATTTACACCCTCGGAAACCCTGTACAGGGTCGCTATGGGTCGGAACCGACTCGACGGCACTTAACAACAACAACAACATAGATAACACAGTAGTGATGATGGATTTATACTGATGTGTGAGTGATATCCCACACCAATATGATTTCCTAAGATGATCTTCTGGAATTAAGGTTAAAACCTAGCTTGCTCTACCCTCCACCACCACCCACTGCTGTCGGACTGACTCCAGCTCACAGCAACCCTATAGGACAGGGCAGAACTGCCCTAGATGGCTGCCAAGGATACAAATCTTTATGGAAGCAGATTGTCACATCTTTCTCTCAGGGAGCAGCGGCTGGTTCAGAACACCAACTTTCCACTTAGTTAAATCAAGTGCTTAAGCACTGAGCCATCCGGGATCTTTATCCTATTCTAACCAACACTTAATAGAAGACATTATCCTTAGCTCCTGATGTTCTAACTTTTTAATACAAGTAGGCAGATTATACAATAAAAGTAGATTTTATGATTGTAGACTTGTAGCCATTTGAAAAGGATTTACACCAAAATAAACTAAATCCACTGTTACAGAGTCCGCTCTGGCTCCTAGAGAGCCTACAGGACAGAATACAAGTGCTCCATGGAGTTTCCAAGGCTAAAAATATTGTGGAAGCAGACTGTCTCATCTTCTTTCTCATAGAGTGGTTGGTGACTTCAAACTACCAACCACTCAGGTGGCAGCCCAATGCTTAATCCCACTGAAACACAAGGGCTCCTGAAAACTATTTAGGGGAGAACAATACAATTATTTGCATTTCATAAATAAAAAGAGGTGGTGATGTAGGATAAGCACTGGACTGCGAACAACAAAATTAGCTGTTCAAACCCATCACGAGCTCCTAGGAAACCCTGTACAGGGGCACTAAGAGTTGGAACCAACTCACTGGCACTTAACAACAACTTAGCAAGGCAAAGAAATTATAGTTACCTTCTTAAGGACAAGTAAGTGAAAACAAGAAACACAAAAGACTAGACTTTTAAAAAGCCTCCCCCAAACTAATTTTTGTATGGTTACACTATAGCTTCTATAATTATGAATGTGCGTATATATAGAAAGAAAATAAATTAGTACTTTTAGCTATGATCAAACCCTTACTCATTAGAAATATCTGATCACCTACTAAGTATAAGACAGTGTACTATATATAAAAACATAAGTAAATGAAAATCACACTGTGAAAAAGTAACCCCGCTGAGAAGAGAAAGGCTGTCTGGGCAGGAAAGGTGACATCTGAGCTGAATCTTAAAGGTTGACATGGATGATGTTAGGAAAAAAGAGGAGCCCCTGAAGAGGCAGAGGATGAGCAAAGGCTCCAGAAGAGTGGACGGTTGCATATGGTGAAAGACAGGAACCCCAACTTGAATAGTAGGTTGGATCTAGTCTGGGAAGAGATTATATACCAAGCTAAATAGTTTGGACTTTATAACTATTTTGTTGTTGGTAAGTACTGTCAAATCAGTTCTGACCCATAGCTACTCTGTACAGGGTTTCTGAGGAGTGAATGGTGAGCTTGAACTGCCAACCTTGTGGTTCAAATCGGTTTTGCAGTCCAGTGCATTAGCCCACAGCGCCACACCAGGACTCCCCTTGACACTATAGATAGCAGAATATATAGAAAAAATGAGGAAGGACCCAAAAAGATGCAAAGAGATAATCTGAGAGAACAGAATAAGATTTATGAAGAAAGGCTAAAGAGCTAGAGGTCAGTGAGCCTAATAGACTTCAAACACAGGAAGGCATCTTATACAGATGAACAGTTATGCTATATTCTGTCTCTACAGAAGGCAGGAAAGAAGATTAAGTATTCAACTCTGGTGATAATTCAATAAAGATAACAAAAAACATTGGAAAGAGCAAGTAGTTCTACCAGAAATGAGGAGGGAGAATAGATGGAACTGGGAGTGGAGGTAGGGTGAAGCCCAAATGGTTTACAGTAGGCAAAACCGACCACTTATAAATCAAGGTCTTATTTGTTAAGCACGAAGCAGCACCTTCTTTTCACGGAGCACGTTATGAGACGCACCCACTTCCATGGGAGGATTCTGTCTGGTCCAATTTGACTATTGCAGAATGGAGTAGATCCTTTTGTCCCTTGTGATCCCATTACCCTTAGACTGGATGGACTAAGTATCATCATACCAAATAAATCCAAAGAACAAAATATTATTAACTTGGAATAATCAGAGAAAAGACAAAATACTTTTAAAGAAATTAATGCTAGTATTTTATCATATATCTACAAACACCAAGGGTTGGCCAAGTATTACCAATGAACTGTACATATGCAGGAAGCAGTAATGCTTATGGGCAGCCTTCTTTCTTAACATACGTCTAGAATTGGCATTATTACTATTGTTGCTATAAATGACTTAGGTATTTTCTTAGTAAACGGAGCAATGACAGGGTAACACACTTCCAACTTACGAACAACTTCAACTTGTCCTTTCATGTTATGTAAATTTGCCATCACTTTGAAATGATTGAACCAGTCCCTACTCAAAACAAATTCTTCATCACAATCACCTTGAATTGCTGCATGTGCAGCTTTTGAATCACTGAAAAGGCTTCAAGTGTATCTGGCACTAATGTAAGACTAAATAGGAGACTGTGTGGCTGTACCACCTTACCTCCAAATTCCTAAAGATACAATCAGGAATGGGTCTCATTTGTAACCCGGGGACTGTTTGTAGAGCAAATGATCACAAATTCTAAACTGTAGGGTTTGAACTTAGCATCATTTCAGCACATGTGAAATATGAATTGCATAACACTCTAAATGAAAGGAAAGCAGTTGGCAAATTAGATGCATGTTGACCCTTAACAGTCAATTAGTGAACATTTTTCTGAAAACTGAAATCACTGACTAATCAAGCATAGAGAAAAACGTACCTGGTTGAGGGAATCAGGTTGAGTGTCCCATTGAGAACATAGCTGAATTCCACATGACCCTGGGCAACAAGTGCCACCAAACCTTCACAGCAGGCTGTTCGAACCACTACGTTGTCACTGCAACACTTCTCCCACAGCAAGTTCAGAGCGGACTTCTAAAATGCAATCAGACACTTTTGATGAACAACAAACATACACACCCCACCCCACTCTACCCCCCATCCCCCAACTAGTCATCAAAGTGGGATTCATTCACAGCAGGTTAGCTTTCTAGAGCAGATACTGTGGTCACTCCATTTGTAGACTAAAGTTGGTTTCCCAAGAGATATTATGAATGGGTTCTGATACAACAGCTCTCTTCACCTGGTACCTCAGCTGCGAAATTAGACAAACTCCAGACAGAGTGAACTGAGGTAAGTGACACAGCTAAACCAGTGAGGGAGCAAGAGTAAGAGCTGCCTCTAGCAGAGGTCTTTAACCAGCAATTTAGCCAGACGCAAATAATAGCAGGGAATTCAGTCGTTTAAATTCAACTCCAATCACATTTACTCTTCAATCCCCAGACAGCAACAGCACTTTTTAATCTTTCCTACTCTCCTACCACTCCCTCCTACCATGCATGTCCCCTTGCCCACCCACCTACCATGTCCCTGTCCCACCCTCCTACCCCATGTATTGAGGCCTAGTATGGGCCCTGGAGCATGGTACTCTGTAAGATAAGCAGTGGACTGCAAAGCACAAGATCGTTGGTTTGAGCCCACTAGCCATTCCACGGGAGAAAGATGAGGCTTTCTACTTCTGCAAAGATTTACAGCCTCGAAAACCCTACGCTAGTGTTGTTAAGTGCCATCGTATCAGTTCTGATTCAGTGACCCTGTAGAGGGGGTCCGAAGTGTGCTTGGTAAGTTTGAACCGCTGACCTTGGTCCAGAGCTTATCCTACAGCACCACACCAGGACTTCCCTATAAAGGTTGCTATAAGTAAAAAATGACTCAATGGCACTTAACAAAAAAATCATGGGCCCAGAGGGAAGAGAGGGAAACAATACTGACAATAAGCAAGCTGCTAGCTCCATGACTTCCAACAAAAGCAACTGTGATTTGCCCCCCTAACATTCTGAGTCAGTCTTCTAGGATATAAGAGCACTGGAGGGTACTCGGGTAAGCGTAAGTTCTTCATCTGGAAAAGAAAGCCTGTAAAAGCAAGAGTTCTAGCTTTCATAACTGTCTCAGGAGTCTATGACCCAAAATATGGTTAAATCTACATGGGAATGCGGGAGTTCACCTCATGGAGATCTACACGAGGCTGGATTTTTTTTTTTAATAATTTAAAACACACACATACACATAATGAAGGCACTTATCTTTCCCCCTGACATGGTTTATTAGGTAAATATATGATTTAGAGAAAAAAGATCCCCAGAGAAAAGGATCTACAGCACCCCGAAAATAATGGATATCAGCACCACAGTACACCCACCTTCCCACTGCTGCTGGCTCTGAGAGCCTCCTAGGTTCCCACTATTGAAAGAATAACACAGCTACCAGTCATCACAGCAGGAAGGAAACATTTACATTCCATTTCTCCTTTTACTCAGAAGGAAATGTATTCACCTGTATGAACAATTTCAAAGGGCTCTAAATGTCATTTCTCCATTACTAAATCAGGAAAACAAAATAAAGGAATCAACAAACTGTTGCCTCAGGAAACACTGGGTCCTTGTGGAAACAAGCATTCATTTATTAATAGAAGAGGAAGTATGTAGTTATAGGAATTTAACATTCAGTAAATTCTAGCAGCTTAAGTAAAACCACTAGATCTTTTCAGAGTGTATTATATGACTTAAGATCAGGGTTCTCAAAAAAATAATTTCTATGACTACATACAAACACTAGAGAAATGCCAATTAGTAAGCCCCTACACTTATTTCAACATGTCAATAGAAGCTGTAAAAAAGCTAATAAAAAAGAATGTCAAAGAAAGGAAACCAATTTATCTCCATTATGAAAATATAATCTTATTTCTGCCTATTACATCCTCAATAGGGTGCATGTTTAAGTACTTCACTTCAGCAATTTCCTCATCAGCTAGGTCAAAATACACTGGTCAACCATAACCCATATCTCTTACTGAGATACTGGTGTATCTCAGTAAACATTATCTCTGAGCACTGGCCTACCTTGTGTATGGCTTCCACGTTCAATGCATAATCTTACCAACTTAGAACTCCCATGTGGGGCTGCCCTAAAGCAGGAGAAATCTACATCCAAACTCCTAGGGTCACTTTCAGTATTAACCAAAAATATTCCCTCAAAACCAACACAATCCACCTTCTCTACAGCATGTCTTTATTCATCCCACCTACAGTAAGTCATAAGAAACACCACTTGTCTATCAGTATGTCTGATGACTTGTGTGTTGCTATGAAGCTGAAAGTTATGTCAACAGGGTACACCCATGGTGGATAGGTTTCAGCTTAGCTCCCAGACTAAGACAGATGAGGAAGAAGGAAAGGCAGACTACTTACAAATATTTAGCCAATGAAAACCTTATGACTATCAGTAGAACAAAGTCAGATAGCACCAGAATACTGAATATTGAAGTATGATGAATAGCAAAAGAACACTGTCAGAGATACTACTGGATGATGAACCCCTCAAGTTGGAAGGCCCTCAAAATACGACTGGGTAAGACCTACCTTCAAAGTAGAGTTGACTATGATGACACAATTGGAGTAAAGCTTTCGGGACCTTCATTAGCTGAGGGGGCACAACTCAAAATAAGGTGAAACAGTTGTTAAAATTTAAAAATTCTACCAACCTCTGAAATTGATCAAACATGCAGCCAAGATGCACTGATAATTACTGGTGATTGGAATGCAAACGTTGGGAAAAAGAAGATCAGTAGTTGGAAAACATGGCCTTGGTGAAAGAAACAATGAAGATTGCATGAAAGAATTTTGCAAGATCAAGACTTATTCGCTGAAAATCTCTTTTTTAAGCAATAACCATAAACAGGGACCTCACCAGATGGAATACACAGAAATCAAATTAGTTATATGTGTGGAAAGAGACGATGGAAAGCCTTCATATCATTAAAAAATGCAAAGCCATTGGTAAACTGTGAAACAGATGATCAATTGCTCATATGCAAGTTCAAACTGAAGCTGAAGAAAATTTTAAAAAGTGCACAAAATCCAAAATTAGACCTTGAACATATCCCGTCTTATTTTAGAAATCATCTCAAGATCAGATTTCATGCATTAAATACCAATGACTGAAGATCAGAAGAATTATAGGGATGATTATCAAGAACATCATACAGGAAAAAAGCAAAAGGTCATTAAGAAAACAAGAAAAAGAAGGTAAAGACCAAAATGGATGTCAGAAGAGACTCTGAAACTTGCTCAAAAAAAACAGAGATCATAAAACTAATGGAAGAAATGAGGAGGTAAAAGAGTTAAGCAGAAAATTTCAAAAAGCAGCTCAAGAAGACAAAGTCAAGTATTATAATGAAATGTACAAAGATGTGGAGATAGAAAACCAAAAGGGAAGAACATGCTTAGCATTTCTCAAGCTGGAAGAACTGAAGAAAAACTCAAGCCAGGACTTGCAATATTGAATAGTTCTATAAGGAGCTCTAGTAGCGTAGTGGTTACGACTCGGGCTGCTAACCTCAAGGTCGCCAGCTTGAAACTACCAGCCATTCCACAGGAGAAAGATGAGGCTTTCTGCTCCTGTAAAGATTTACAGCCTCAAAACCCTGTGCAGGGTCACTATGAGTTGGAACCAACTCCATGGTACTTAACAACAACAACAACAACAATGGGCAAATTACTGAATGATGCAGAAAGCATCAAAAGAAGACAGAAAGAATACAGTCACTAAACCAAAAATAAGTGGTCAATGTTCAACCATATCATGAGATAGTATATAATCAAGAGCCAATGGTACTGAAGAAAGAAGTCCAACATGCACTGAAGACATTGGCAGAGAACAAGGTTCCAGGAATTGATGAAATACAGACTAAAATCATTCAACAAACTGATGCAGCACTTGAGACATTTACTCATCTATGCCAAGAAATTGGAAGATGGCTACCTGGCAAACAGATTGGAAGAAACCCACATTTGTGCCCATTTCAAAGAGAACTGACAAAACCAAATGTGGAAATTATCAGGTAATATCGCATACAAGCAAAATTTTGGTAAACATAATTTAAACACGGCTGAAACCGCACATTGACAGGGAACTGCCAGAGGTTCAAGTCTGATCCAGACAAGGACTTGGAACAAGGGATATCACTTCTGAAGTAGGTCTTGGCTGAAAGCAGAGAATACCAGAAAGATGTTTTCCTGTCCTTCACTGACTATGCAAAGGCTTTCAACTGTGTGGATCATGACAGGCTATGGACAACGTTGCAGAGAATGAGTATTCCAGAATGATTAATTGTGCTCATAAGGAACCTGACATAGATCAAAACGCAGTTGTTCAAACAGAACAAAGAAACACTGAATGGTTTAAAATTAGGAAATGTGTGTGCGAGGGTTCTCTCACCATAAGTATTCAATCTGTATGCTGAGCAAATAAATCAAGAAGATGGATTATATGAAGAAAAACGTGGTATCAGGTTTGGAGGAAGACTCCTTAACAACCTGCAATATGTAGATGATACAACCTTGCTTGTTGAAAGTGAAGAGGATTTCAAATACTTACTAATGAAGAACAAAGACCACAGCCTTTGGTACGGATTGCATTCAGTGTAAATAAAACAAAAATCCTTACCACTAGACAAGTAAGTAACATGATAAACAGAGAAAAGATGGAAGTTATCAAAGACTTCATTTTGCTTAGATTTACTATCAACACACATGGATGCAGCAGTCAAGAAATCAAAGGACATACTGCATTGGGCAAATCTGTTGCACAAGACCTCTTTAAAGTGTTCAAGGGCAAAGATGTCAATTTGTGAACTAAGTTGCACCTGATCCAAGCCACGGTTTTCTCAATAGTTCCATATGTTATGTCAAAGTTGAGCAGTGACTAAGGAAGACCACAGAAGAACTGTGTTGGAGAAGAATATTAAAAGCACTGTGGACTGCTAGGACAAACAAATCTGTATCGGAAGACATATAGCCATGACGGCCAAACTTGGTCTCTCATACTTCAGATATATTATGAGGAGAGAAAAGTCTCTGGAGACAGACATAATGCTAGGTAAAGTGGAGGGTCAGTAAAAAGAGGAAGACCCCTAACAAGATGGACTGACATAGTGACAGTAGCAATGTACTCAAGCTTAACAACAACTGTGAGGATGGCACAGGACCAGGCAGTGTTTCGTTCTGTTGTGCATAATGTCGAAATGAATCTCAAGAATTCTCCCTCTTTGCTCCTTTTCGTATCTCATTCATGAAAACTGTTAAAAACAGATTTAAAAATTTTAAATAATTCTACGGAATAAAAAGATGACACACACACACAAAAAAAAAGCAATGAACTTTTCACAGCTTAAATTCATTTTGGTTGTGCCCTAAATTGTCACCACAGTTTAGGAAAGTAAGACAAGTGCATATGTAAGAGAAGGAAAGTAAGAGAAGCTTTTAGAAACACAGTGTCCAAGTAGAACTAAAGCACAATTAAACACAGACCTGGTTTGTGAACTGCTGGATCTTTTCTGAACAACCACTTTCCTTTAGGACTGCAGCAATCAGATGGCCCACAGCCTAGAAAACAAACAAAATTAATGAATACATACACTCCAAAGTTCTCCCCAAATGTGCTTTTTAAGGCAATATTGGAATTTGGTGGGTTATGCATTGGTCTGTTAACTTCAGAATAGTGGTTCAAATCCACCAGCCACTCAACAAGACAAAAAATGAGATTTTCTGTTTTTATAAAGATTTACACCCTTGAAAACCCTACACAGCATCACTGAACTGGAACCGACTCAACAGCACTTAACAATAGTATCAATATTAGTTCATATGAGTTTGCTAGACAGTGAATTGGCAACAAACAAAATTCCCATTAACTGAATATGTACTAGGTAGCAGGCATTGAATTTGTTACTCCACATGCATAATTTACAAACTTCATAAGAACTCTCAAGGTAGGCATTATTTTCCCAGGATACAAATAAATAAACTTCAGTTCATAAATGTTAAGAAAATTGCCACATGTTTCACTCAAATTGTTGTCACTTGGTATTAGACAATAACTCGAGGTAACTTAATACATTAAACCATGAGACTAATCAGACACTGAGTTTGAAAATCGACTTTGCATCGAATCGAAATCCATCCTGTTTCATCCTGCTCTGAATGAAGATGGGGAACTTCACAGAGATCTGACTTCTCCCTCTTTCAAGCTCTATGATTTTAATTTCTTTATTATTTTTCCAGCGGGTCAGTTATTTAATACAGCTTTCATCCTCTAAATTTTCTCTCCAAAGTTTCCCCATATGCTGTCAAAGAGTCCAAAATTAGACTCAATACCCTTAATAGGAGCACTGACTACATTAATATACAAATATGAGGATATGTCAAAATGACTTGCATTAAACAGATATATTAAAATGTGAATCGCTTGTTTCGCAACTCATCCTCCATTTGGGGTTGCACACTTGTAAAGGAGGCATTTCCGTCTTTAACAATTCCCTGAAGAATTCTGGACTCTTCCATTGATACCACATCAAAAGAGCCATTTAGGCATTCTCAAGGGACTCAAATCATGTTCCTTTTCAATTGTCTTTGGGTTTAGGAAACAAAAAGAAGCCTGCAAGGGCAAGATCAGGGCTGTTGGATGGCTGGAGCATGGCTTCCCAATGAAATTCTCTTAGGACCACCTTGCTGCCTTCCAAAAAGGAGCAGGTACGTGAAAAGAATTCCACAGTGCAACTTGCTGGCCTTTTTCTCACCAATGCAGCTTTTTAATTTTCTTAAAACTTCTGTACAATATGAGAGAGTTTCAAAAAGTTCACGAACAATAAAAAGATAATGGAATTCTTCCAAAACTTTTTGAAGTCCCCTCATAAGCCCACGTGAATGTCCTGTGTCCTTTGAGAAAATCTATCAAGACAATAGATTTGATGTCCCAGAAAATAGCTCCTATAACCTTCTGAACTGACGTCTCTGCCTTGAATCTAACTGGCCTAGCAGATTTCTTTTAATTACACCTTTCTTTGAAGATGCACAAATGACACTGAAACAAGTGTATTACTTACAGAACTTGCCTGTAGCCATCCACTGATCCTAGACACATATTTAAATATGATTTGTTTGGAATAAAGTCATGAACATATGGACTGGAACTTAGTAGCAATACTTTTTTACTTACCCTCTTTTGATTTATCTACTATTGACTTCAATTTCTTTCTCTTAGTTCTTCAACTCCGCTCAGTTTTGCTATCTTAAAGCCCGAAGACTAGCAACAATGACAGTCATTCTGAGTATTTTATTGTTGTTGTTGCTGAGTGCTACCGAATCAGTTCCAAGTTACAGCAACTCCATATCGGATTCATGAGGAACGGCTGGTGGGTTTGAACTGCCTACCTTGAGGCTCAAGCTGACCTTACAGTCTAGCACATTATCCTACAGTGCCACACTAGGTTGGGAAAACACGTGTCTGTTACAGAACTACCTGTCCTGCACTTGGGATCAATGTTTATCTGTAAATAGATGTCAATCTTGCAAAGTCTCTCTCAACTTAAAACTTTCATTGCCACTGAGTCAATTCCAACTCACAGCAACGTGTATAGCATTTCTTAGGCTGCAAATCTCTTCTTTCAGAGATGAGCAGGAAGCCTTCTCTTTCTCCTGTGGAGTGGCTGATGGGTCTGAATCCTGTGGTTAGCAGTTCAGTATTTATCCTACAATACCACCAGGACTTCTTGCAAAGTCTCTCAAAAAGCACAACTACAAACACACCACCATTGCTTCTACTTTTCTTTTTGTATTTCCCATGGTAAAACTGACTTATGCCCTTCATGTTGATGAGCTCAGTCTGATAATACAAGCTACCCATTTCCATGACTACTTAGCTAAATTTACTGGCTTGTATCTCCTGGTAAAAGGGCTAGTAACAAGGCTTGAGAAGTCTGGGTACCTGTTAACAAAATACACCATATTTCATTGAATATAACTTGCCTTCCATTTTTTGTTTTTGTACATCATTATTTTTATGTACCATTAAGAGACAAAAAGGGGCTGCCAATTCATCTATTATAGTCAACGCTTCTTATAATTGAAACTATTTGTTTTATATTATTGAAAGAACTCTTTTAGGCTCATTTAGAAAATCAAGGCCAAGTTGGCACAGATACAGGTACTACCAACTGTATCACAGCTGCTGTCATCAACTATAAGATGCAACCTAATTTCAAAGAAGTTAAAATGTGAAAAATAAATTTGTATAAATCAAGGAAATATGGTGCTACAATGAGCAGCAGTTACAAGTGAACAATAAGAAGTATTCACAGAGGACAGAGTATAGTCATAAAAACCTCATAAAATTAATCTGAAGCAATAGGGAAATAAAGCTATAGTTCATATTTAGAAAAAGCGCTAAAGGAATAAAAGCTTGATGATACACATCCCACATCCTCCATCAGGTTCAATTTATTTCATTTATTTTTCAATTTATTCTCCTAACATCAGAAAATATAGCCTCAATTGATTATAAAATACAAAATCCAATGATAAATCAGCTTGATTGCATCTTAAATTTTCCATAAGGGAATAATCTAAACTGGACATCTTTTACCATCAAAACGTACACTGTGTTCACTTATCTCACAGTCACACACATGGATATCTCCTGAACCTCTCTGCTAATGAAGGGATTTCATGCATAGGAACACAAAAACTGTGGGCAGGATCCTTCAAGTTGTCATCTTCTTCAGGGTAAGCACCTGCGCTGCACATTGTAGGATACGGCTCCAACCCAGTCAGGTAGAAGGGAATCTTGCATAAGGAGTGTTCTACTCCTCATGGAAGGGTTCCCCACTACCCAGCTAAGTCAATTCCCACAGCAGGTATCTCCAGCGTCAACTGTGGAAAGTATCCAAGATGCTGCATGTCCTTAAGTCTCCAGTCAGGTTTCTTCTGGCTCCTCAGATTAACTCTCACAAGAGAAGATAATAAGCTACTATAATACCTTGATTAACCAGAATGCTTCTAATTAATTGAGGGCTAAATAGGAAGTCCTGGTGGGACACCACAAGATAAGCATTCAACCTCAAGGCTGGTTTCAACTGCAAAGTCAGCAGTTCAAATTCACCAGCCGCTCCTCAGAAATCCTATACAGGGTCACTATGAGTCGGAATCTACTCGACAGCACTTAACAACACAGCAACAACTAGGAAACCATCTTAGTTTCAACATTAACTATTGAAGATTACAAATATTTAGAGATAACATCTCTCCAAATATATTATCATAATTTCCTGCCTTAGTAAGTACGTTGCTGTTGTTAAGTGCCATCAAGACATTTCCAATTCATAGCAACCCTGTGCAGGGTTTCCAAAAAATGGCTGATAGCTTTCAACTGCCAACCTTGTATGTGCTCATCCTACTGTGCCATACCAAGACTCCTTAGTTAATTATAAATTTAAAAATTTTTAATACAGAATATCTTATTGATTGTCATTATTATAAAAATCTATTTGTCTTAATAGTAATACAGCTCTTCTTTCTGCTCTCTCTTCTTTCTGCCCTCTTCTCTTCTCTTCTCTTCTCTCTTCTGCCTCCTGCCTTCTCTCTCCCCGGCAGAGGTCACCTTCCTCTTTCTCACCCTAAATAAAAGTCTCTAGACGGGCAAAAAAAAGTAATACAGGGTTTTAATGCTGTTGATGTTGTTAAGTGCTGCAGAGTCGGTTCCAACTCATAGCATACCTGTACAGAAAGGCTTCCAAGGATGTGCTGGTGGGTTTGAACAACTGAACCTATGGTTAGCAATCCAGTGTTTATCCTCCAGTGCCACACCTTTTAAAATACTAATCCTTCATACTGTGTGAATTTGTAAGTATTTGCCTCTATTCTCCAAAATTAATTACAGAGAAAAAAAATGCACTCAAAATATATAAAAATACATATATATAAATATATACACTCAGAAGCCTCTTAGCTAATCAAGGTTTCATAAATTCTAGGAAGGAAAGTATAATATAAATTGAGGTTAATGAAATTAATCAGTTTCAAATATTTACTACTTAACAACAACATCAAATATAGTATTTTAAATTAACTCATATAAAAGTTGTTTAATAAAGCAACATCAATTTCTATGTGCTGAAGAATAAAATATTTCATGTTAAAAAATAAAGTTCAATGAACAACCTGCCTTAAAGTTTCATTTGTTGCCAAGCAGCAAAATAGACAGATAGACAGACAGATAGATGGATAAAATTACCTGTGATTGAACAAGGGAATTTGGAAATTCAAACCTTTTCCTGATATCATCTGACATTTTGTTTTCCTTACATATAAGCAAGATTTCTGTAACAAAAAAGAGAATACTTATTAGTCTTAAAAAGCTATTCAAAATAGTTTCATTTCTTCCTCAAATGATATTGAAGTAACTCATATCCAAAGACAATAATGGAAATAAAGTACAGTACTCTAGAAACCCTTGGCATACCAGTCATTATTAATGACGACAGCACTCATATGCCATGACTGATAGATGAACTAAAAATGCTCAACAGCTCTTAGTTTCGCCAGGTAGACTAATGCTGAAACACATAAATTCATACTATGTTGTTGGTAAGTGCTGTCATGTCAGTTCCGACTCAGGGACCCTGTATAGGGTTTCCAATGAGCAGCAGGTGAGTTTGAACCATGTACCTTGTGGTTCAAATCAACCTTGCAGGCCAGTGCTTTATCCTACAGTGCCACACCAGGACTCTAATGCATACTATGGTGGAGGTGGTGGTTATATGCCATGGAGTCGGTTCCAACTCATAGTGACCTTATACAGGGTTTCCGAGGCTGTAAATCTTTATGGGAACAGAAAGCCTCATTTTTCTCCTGCAGAGCAGCTAGTAGTTTTGAACTGCTGACCTTGCGGTTCACAGCCCAATTCGGAACCACTACGCTACCAGAGCTCCTGATAATATAGAGGCTAAAAAGTATCCAAAAGTTCACACCTAAATAACATGATTAAAGTATTCAACTGCAAATTTCAAATAGAAATTGATTCTTTTGTCCATCAAAATTGTGAGGGGGAAAGGCTCAGAATGTCATTGTTGTTGTTGTTGTTGTTAAGTACCATGGAGTCAGTTCCAACTCATAGTGACCCTGCACAGGGTTTCCGAGGCTGTAAATCTTTACGGAAGCAGAACACCTCATCTTTCTCCTGTGGAACAGCTGGTAGTTTCGAACTGCAGACCTTGAGGTTAGCAGCCTGATTCATAACCACTACACTACCAGAGCTCCTTCAGAATGTCATAGAAGGTTTTAAATTATGCCTCACTTTGGTACTAGCTTTCATTTGAACATTAATACAACTGCTGTGACAAGTGTAAAATCCAGGTGCACAATTTTCAAGAAGTATAGAAATGACCTAGAAATTCACACTTTAAAAAAAAACCTGCTTGTCTCCTAAAGGAGGACCAAGCAAGCAATTAGCACCGACTTTTAATATTTACATCACACCTCTCATTTCTACTGGGTTCTCAAAAAAACAAAACATGCAAAAGGATAGAGAAGGGCAGGTGGTGAAACAGAGGCATGAAACTAATAAGAGGATTTCCTGAGGATCCAACTTTATCCATTTTCCATGGAGCACTGATTCCACCAGACAACACTTTTTAAAAATGGGTACTTAGATCACCTATTTATTACAACATAAGTAAAAGAAAAAATCAAATGTGTGCCAAAATAGTACCTAGGTGACCTTATCAAAACAGGCAGCTCAACTAAGCTCTCCTCATCTCAAAAAAAAACAGGAGGTACTTTGTCTAGAACTGACAGCTCTTTCTAAGCAGCTTCCTCCAAAGTTAAACTCCCTGAATAGTTAACGTAGCCTGATGTACTTCTGCAACAACGCTGTCCAACTGGATTCCCTTCAATTTGACAGTCCACTGGACTGAAAGATGCACCACTCTAAGACTGCCAACCATTTCCTTGTCTAAATCTATTCATCAATTTCAGCAAGCCAAAATTTCTACAACTTGCCTGTTGTGTCAGTCACACCTTTCTTGGAATTATAATCACCTTTGGTCACCATATTTCATTGTGGATATAATATGGAAATCCAAGATAAAGAAATCTTCATTAAAAAAAATAAAAGATTTTGTGTGGAAATACTACATATTACATTCCAATAATAAATTTTCATTTAACAAATACTTAATTGCTGGTTAAGTGTCAGGCACTCAACAAAGTGCTTAGACTACATCTTGAATAAAATAAGCAAAAATCCTTGCCCTTGTAGAACTTACAATCTACTAGAAAGAGACACACAACAAACAATAAACAATTCATAAGCAAGACATATGTTAAAAGATAATAAATGCTATGGAAAACAAGAAAGTAAAGCATCAAAAAGAGATTGAGATTTAAGGGAAGGGCACTTCCTATTTTAAACAGGTTGGTCAAGGTTAGAAAGTGGTATTTAAACAAAGACTTAAAGGAGAAAAGGGTAATAGCCATATGGGGATCTGGAGGAAGAGTAGGAGGCAATACAGTACTTCAGCGATGTTCTAGGTAATACAAAAAGAACAATCTGGAGCAGGGTGAAGAAAGAAGAGAATGGTAAATGAGGTCAGAGAGCAATGAGGAAGCATTCATAAAAGGCTTTGTGGACCACTGCAAGGAAGTTTGAATTACTTCAGAGTAATGGGAAGCTAGTGCAGAAAGAAGTGGTAAGATTATAACAAAATTACATTCAGTGAGAAGTGGATGGATTCTGGATCTATTTGATGTTAAAACCAACATGATTGGCTAATAGATTAGAAGACAGTATGTTGTTGTTGTAGTTGTTAAGAGCTGTTGAGTCGTTTCCAACTCATAGCAACCCTGGATTGGTTTCCAAAATGCTGCAGGTGAGCTTGAACCACCGACCTTCCAGTTCAAACCGAACTTGCAATCCAGCGAATTAACCTACAGTGCTGCACCAGGATTCCTACATGAGAGTATGTTGTTGTTGTTAGGTGCCATCGAGTCGGTACCGACTCACAGCAACCCTTTGCACAACAGAATGAAACACTACTGGTCCTGGGCCAATCTCTCAACTGTTGCCACACTTGAGCCCCATTAATACTGCCACTTTGCCAATCCATCTTGCTGCGGGTCTTCCTCTTTTTCACTGACCCCTCCACCTTACCAAACATATCCTTCTCCAGTGACTGGTCCCTCCTGACAATATGTCTGAAGTATGAGAGATGAAGTTTGACCATCCTTGTCTCCAAGGAGAAAGAGTCTAGTTTAAGAGTGTGTAAGGGATGATAGAGTCCCCATTGAATAGTTTTCATCTTGTCTAGATGGGTCTGGTAAACAAAGATGGGGAAAAGATCCTCATTATTCAATACGCAACCTGGGCATTGGCTACCCAAAATGGAGGCAAGAAGTGACCAGCTTACAAGCTTTCAAGAGGGAACCTAGATCCAGAGGGCGTGAAGGAAGGTAGAATCTCCACTAAGTAGTATCCAATCTGTCTGGGCGGGGCTGATTAAAAGAGATGGGGATAGCACTCATGTGGTACAACAGTGAATAATTGCTATCAAGATTGACTGTGAGGGTTGGAAATGTAAAGGTAGACATTTTGTAGCAAACGGAGGGGAGTGGTTGACTTTGCAGTCCAGGAGCAGAGGACCCTGGGACCGTCAAGGGAGAAGAGCGGAGGCCGGAGCCTACCCAGAGAAACAGTGATGCCAGAGATGGAGGCAGAGACTATGATTTAGAAAGATTGAGCAGCTGGGGAATCTAGACCCAGAGAGGGAGAGGGGCTGTGTGCTGACAACCGAGGGGCAGACTTGCAGGGTATATCCTTTGGTTGTTTGATGATGCATGGAGGGGATTGTAATCATGGCAATGAAACAATATACGATAGGATGAATGTAAAGCTAATGTTCTCCCATGTAAACTATCACATAATTCACAATAAAACATTTAAAAAAAAAAAAAAACCTTCTACCTTTACAGTTGTGACAGTTGCAGTTGGTCATGATAACAATTACTCACTATTGAATCATGAGAATCTGATCCCCATCTCTGTTTACCAGACCCATCTAGACAAGATGAAAACTGTTCAGTGGGGGCTCTACCCTCCCCTGCATACTCTGAAACTAAACTCCCTCTTGAAACCTTGTAAGCCAGTCACTGCGTGCCTTTATCGCCCCCTCATTTTAGGTATCAATATAATATATCTTGATTGCATGCTTGCAATCAACTTCAGATTTAGGAAGTTGGTAAAATTCTTCTATCTCATTCTCACTGGCTTTAGTGGTTGGTGCATACATTTCAGAAACAGTTTTATTAACTGGTCTTGCCTGTAGGCACATGGATATTATCCTATCACAGAGAGCATTGTACCTCATCTTGATATGTTCTTTTTGACAATGAATGTAATGTTATTCCTCTTCAATATGTCATTCCTGGCATAGTACACCATGTGATTGTCAGATTCAAAATGGCCAACACCAGTCCATTTCAGCTCACTAATGCCTAGGATATTGATGTTAATGCATTCCATTTCATTTTTGACAATTTCACATTTTCCTAGATTCATACTTCATACATTCCATGCTTCGATTAGTAATGGATGTTCACAGCTGTTTCTCTTCATTTTGAGTTGTGCCCCATCAGAAAATGAAGGTCCTGCGGGCTTTTCTCCATTCATGTCATCACAGTCAATTCTACTTTGAGGAAGCATCTCTTACCTAGCCGCAATTTGAGTGCCTTACAACCTGAGGGGCTCATTTTCCAGCACTACATCTGACAGCATTTCTCTGCTATTCAAGGTTTTCAGTGACTAAATATTTGTAAGTAGTTCATCTCTCCTTCTTCCTAGTCTGTCTTCATCTGGAAGCTCATCTGAAATCTGTCTACCATGGGTGACCCTGCTGGTATATAAAATACTCATGGCATAGCTTCCAGAATCACAACACACAATCCACCACAGTATGACAAACTGACAGACAAGTGGTGGAGATGAAAGCATAGGAGACAGGGAAAACGAAGGATGACTCTAAGGTGTTTGATTCATGCAAGTTTTTTTTTTCATCTAAACTGCCTTTGCCTATGTTATACTTTAAACAGCAATTTATTATTTCTTGTTGTTGTTGTTGTTAAGTGCCATTGAATTGGTTCTGACCCATAGCAACCCTGTATAAGATTCTGAGGATCATTGTAGAAACAAGGGTCTTAGCAGGAAGACCAGAAATTCCATTTTGGACAGGTAAGTTTTATATGTCTAATAGATATACCGTGGAGATCTCAGGTAGACAACTGGACACATGAATCTAA